CTGTCATCTTTGGTGGGATCCACCTTCCAATCTGTTACATGAGACTAAAGCTCAGCATGGATGCTTCATTGTAGAAAAAAATTCTATAATCATAACTCCAAAGTTATCCTCATTTAGTTACTACAGGAGCTAATTTACTACTTGTTCGTGTTGTCAGGATGACTTAGTTGGGGGCACCTTGTCCGAAGTCCTATGATACAGGATGGGCGAATGCACTAGGACACAATTGTTCAGCAGACAATTGGTCAAATGCTCGACTCCACTTGTCACTTTGATGAGTTGTAGTTTGCTGCTGAGAATGATAAAGACTCACTGATGAGTAAGTCCACGGTCCGAGATTGGGAATTATGATAACTATTATGACAGAGGGCTTCGGACAAGGTGCGTCCAACTAAGTCAACCAGGCACACAACCAAGTTGCGAAAACGAGGTCAGACTATTCAAAGTTTAATACTCTCTTGCACCCGCTATTTTATAAAGACTAAAATGGGGTCTACGAGACCCAGGTTACTTTCATTCTTGCCGGTATACATAATGTATGGTATGTTTCACCGAATTTATTGATTTCTCATTACTGTACAAACTTTCATTTTCTTTGAAAGTATGCAATAAAGAAATTGGTTGGTAGAGTCCGCCTGGAGTCAAAGGCAGATTTTGCTTGATATGATATCGCTCGGGAGACTCAGTTCTCCAGAAGAACTACTTCGGTTCGGGTGAAAACGGTTTGGACTTTCATCTGTCATTCAGCTTAACAAATATGATAAGTATTCGCCCTATTTCGTTTAAAGTGATGAAGGACTGGTAGTCGAATTTTCCCACAATGGTATGATTAGAGTTGACGTTTTCATTGAATTTCACATAGCCTTGCTTTCCAAAAAGGTGTTCTTATCCAGGCACCAGTTGACTGCAGTTTTGACCTCGCATCGGTCTTATCAACACCCCCAGCGGGAGTCGAACCGTGTGAGTGCAGAATGTGAGCTTGTCACGTTAAAAACTCGTCAACTTTGCCACGAGTGCCCTTGGGTCACAGGGCAGATGTCAATTTCAAGGAAGGCCAGGCCTTTTGTCATATCACATTTTTTGGTGAGATTGTCGATGAAGCAAACGTATTTTTGCTATGGCAATCGACTAGGCTACTTATTTTTCGTATGCAAGTAGAGTTTCGAGACCCCCAGTAAATCAGTAACATGAGATGTCAGACAGCTTAACAGATATCATCAGAGTGAGTATGCATTCTTATAACTAGCCTACACAGAGTCAGTAAAGCTAACATTCAATAAATACAAAACTAGGCCAAATTAACCGCTATATATACTCATAAAAGTCTGTAAGAGTATATAAGAACTTGATTTGTCCATTGTTATACTTATCTAGGCTAATTATAATAGTTGTGGAGGCGTGAGAGCGAGTACAAAAGCCCTGTAGTTAGGACAGAGTGTTACATTTGTCCCTCAAAATCAAGGATAAATAAACCTTTTTTAAAAATGAAATAAGTACTTAGTCATATAGAATAGGTTTATTCAGCAACCAGTCGTTAATAGTGTCAAATAAAAAATGTTGAATACGGTACTTAAATCAAATCTAATAGTAGTCTCAAAAGACAATAAATGTACTAAAAGAATATATTGGGCTTACTTCCATTTCGAGTGAAAGGGTTTGGTGAAGAGATTCGAGGGTTAATCCCACCCGAAGACGACGGCGATTCCTCTTGACCAACTGTTGATTGGATTTACTGGAATATTCTTGTAGATACTGTTTCCAAAGAAATCTCCTTCGATTCCGGTGAAAGCGTGAAAGCTTTCGTCTGTTCTATGACAAATATCATAAGAACAGGTTATCATCCTTGCAAACAAATTCATGTTAGTGGGTCAAGAAAACTCACCGGCTCATCCCTAAAAAGCTGTATATATACTTTACAGCTAACCTCTTTTATGATGAATAAAGTGATTTGGTTAGTTCTAGTCACATGTCAATCTCGAAGCCTGTGCATGTGTCTGTTTCTGATTGTCTATGTGCCTGTATGTGTCCGCATATGCACGAAGCAGGCAGTGATGGCTCAAAGTAATTAGGACAACACAAGTAATGCCTGTTCTTGGCCATTACCACCTCTCTGTATATATTGTAACCATCACTCCGATTGCGCAAGGTGTGTCTGGTTGTATTGATGAGTGTTCTGTTTTCCTTCATGTGAGAGAGAAAGAGTGGGCCAAAAGTGTAGAGAAGTGACCGTGATTCGAAGCAAGACATGAAAAGACTAATCGAGTCGCCTCCTTTTTGCAGGCGGCTCAACACGCTTTCCTTCCTTGAACCTATTACTTAATCACGATTAGCTTTTACTAAATTTATTGCCGCTATTCCTTACATTCAAGATATTTCCTATTCAGTTTATTTCGATGGCTTCTCTCATTTTACGCTTAGCCGCAGAGCTGCCATAATCAGCAAAACGACAAGTTTGAGACCATTCAATCTCGGGTCCCGTTTCTGGCCTGTGCTCTGCAAGCTCCGATCTTTGAAGCCAACAGTCGTTGCAGTCGCTTTTGTGCTCAGCCACGCTTTGTTTCTTCAACATATAAGCGACCACATGAACACATTCTTTTGTAGCAACCCGATCTGGATGAGGGGTCAACTTTCTTTCTAAAAGTGGGCATAACTGAAGAAAGTGTCGCAGTTTCCCTGAAGACCGTTTTTATTCCCCATTTCCGTACTTGTTCACCTCTCCTTTTAGAGAGAG